AAAGATTTTATTCCCTCCACCCCCCATCAATAGCCACTTATTTGGGAAATTAAAATTCTTGATCTGTCACTAGAAGATTCTGGTTCTTGGATTATCACTGGTGACGAAAGTTCAAGATAACAACAATGAATATTTATTGAGGATCTGCTAAGTTGTTAGCCACTGTGCTAACCATTTTAATATTTACTTTGTTTAATTCTCATAATAATCTAATAAGCTAACTGTTGTTGTTATTTTACACATTAGGTTAAGAAACAAAAGAATTTGCCTGTGATCGTTATGGCTAGTAAAGTAACAACTTTGAGATTCAAACCTGGATTTTCTGACGGTAAGTCCCACTTTCAATTTTTACCGATCACAGAAGACATGTAATTTAGTAATAAGCACTGTTTATGATTTTTTTTTTAAATATCCATACTCTTTGGGCTCAAATTCTATTCCTAAGTGTTTATCATAAAGAAATAATCAGAGGTAATCTTAAATATGTATGCACAAGTTAAAATACAACAGTTAATCTAATTTAAATAACTTTCACATATGCACTGTTTAATATTATGCAGTTGTATTTTTTGAAGATAGAACATGACATTTAATCATATGAGAAAGCACCCAAGCTGCAATATACAGAAAAACACAGAACGTAAAACTGTATAAGGGCATCTGTTACTAGACAAGGTCTGCGCATTCTCACTTCCCTGTCAAGGTCATTGTTCAGAAGAAAGGGTTTCTTGTTGAAACCTGAAATTTCCCAGGTGAAAAATACATCTGCAGGGTTCAGAAGAGGCCAGGCATCACTTGTCCGTCACTTGAGTCCAGAAAAATGAGTTTATTCTTGAAGGAAATGACATTAAACTTGTCTTGATTCAGCAAGCCATAACAGTTACAAACAAGGATAAGAAAAAATATTTGGAGGGCATCTATGTCTCTGAAAAAGGAACAGTTAGCAGACTGATGAATAAGATCTAAGAACTGTCCAGCTACAGAAAGAACAAGATGCCAGATGAGTCTTAAGACCTACTTGTGATTTTTAAAGATGCAGTGAGAGCCCTGTATTGATTTGGGGGAAAGGGGGACTATATATACAATATGACCTCAAATTTGTCCAAGATAAAAAATTTATACATGGACATATAAAAAAATTATAAATGAATAAAACATACTAACATGCAGTCATCTCTTTGTGAAAGAATTATAGTGAATTTTTCTTTTTCTTCAATGTTTCTATATTTCTTAATTCTCATCAATGAGCTTCCAACATTATTGTACAATAGTAACAAAAAATATACTATTTTTAAAAATGCCTACCATTACTTCAAGTAAGCAGAAGTTAAGCTGGCTCAAATCTAAAATGCTGCTAGAACCACCTTTCTCTTGGCTACTCCCCAACTCAGAGAGCAAGGGAGGCAGTCTTAGCATAAAGTGCTAGGTGTGTGACTTCGAGTAAGTCACATCCCCTCTCAGGGCCTCAGTAGGCTTTTCTGTAAAATGAGCAGCCTGGATCTGCGAGCCCTGAGCCAGGCCTGAGCCCACATCCTCCCTCAGGGGCCTCTAGATAGAACTATCTTTCAACACGCAATTCAATCTGGCCTTCCCCCATGACTAGAGAGAAAAATATTTATGAATTACTCTCCAGTTTAGAAATGGATCTCTGCCTGGGAACAAAGAATCACAAACCCCACTGGCAAATTAGAGTCCATTATCAAACACTGTAGCAGCAAGCTCGGCCTGGTGGTAATTGTATCTGCAATAATAAGGCTGTGAGGGCCACTTTAGGCCATTTGCTATGTGAATCAATCATCATTACAGTCTAGCAGTGGAGTGGACATGGAAATGAGCCCATGTTACCAATGGCCAATTAGAGCAGAGACCCATCAAGAAGCTCATGGGGATGGGGTGGGGGTGGCTGGGAAGGGTGGGTAGGAACACAACAGGTGGCCTGGGTCTCTGTCACTCACTGATATCCCATGTCACCTAAGAAGATCACTCTGAGACTGCCTGTGATTCTGTTTAGGGTCCCTAGTAGGGCTCAGTGACTTTAAATAATATAAACTCTGCTTGACCATGACATGTTAATTTCACATGAATGTAAACTCCTTAGTGGATGATGAGATATTTGAGTTTACCCTGTGTATTGGTATTCTAGGTTTGCCATCACAAATGACGACAACGTAGTTACTATACAACTCTGTGCCTATAGTTATCAATACTGTATTGTACCCTTAAAAATACATCCAGAGGACATATCTTATATCTTCATGTTGTGTTCTTACCACAACAAAATTAAATTTTAAAAAAGAGAGCTTACATAGCTATACTAGACATTCTGGTACATTGCTAGAAAAAAAGTATAGATTGATAAAATCCTTTTGCAAAGTAATTTGGCAGTATGTGTTAATAGTCTCAAAATAGCTATACATGTTTGGCTCAGTAATTATATTTTGGGGAATTGTTTCTTTAAAAAAAATCTGAACTACATAAAGCCTCCATCCACAAGATGTTTATGACAGCATTGTTTATAATAGCAAGGAAAATAAATAAATTTAAACAAAAGATTACTTAAGTATACAATGTTATACCTATATAATGAAGTAGTAGGTCTCCACTAAAGTAACGTGAATAATTTATAACAAGAGGAGATGCTTATGTTATAACGTTAAGTGAAATTGGGATATAAGGGGGTCTGTATAATATGTTCTTGACTATATTTTTAAACAGCAAAAAAGAGAAGAGTTACATCAAAATGTTCAAAGGAGCTTTTTTTGAAAAACTGGGTGTTTTTTCCTTTTTCTCCTTTTTTTCCACCTTTTTGGGTTTTGCAACTCTACAATTTGCATAAATTATTTTTAATGGGAAAAAAGGTAGTATGAAAATCAAAAATGCAAACTAATATTAATGCCAAGGCAAGCAGGATTTTTTGGAAGGACTGAGGGGGAAAGGGAAGGGTGTTAAGATCAAAGATCTCCTAACATCTAAGACAGGACAAAGTAGATGTTTTCTCAGAGGCTCTGGCATTTGGTATTAAATTCTGAAACAATGGATTTGTCTTGTTTTGCGATCTAAATTACAGGTTTGACATCAGTATATACTACACAAATGTCTATAGAATAAATGAATAGGCCTCTGAGCTAAGTAAACACATGGCATAAACAAATGAAAAAATACATGTACAAGAAAATTAAATAAGTGGTTTGAACAGAAAATGTCTTTCAAGGGGCACCTGGGTGGCTCAGTCATTAAGCATCTGCCTTCAGCTCAGGTCATGATCCCAGGGTCCTGGGATGGAGCCCCACATCGTGTTCCCTGCTCAGAGGGAAGCTTGCTTCTCCCTCCCCAACTCCCCCTGTTTGTGTTCCCTCTCTTGCTGTGTCTCTCTCTGTCAAATAAAGAAATAAAATCTTTAAAAAAAAAAAAAAAGGAAGAAAATGTCTTTCTAAAGGAAACAGTTTGAAGTCCCTTCCTTCTTTGCTTCTTAGGAATCCCACTGGGAACCTGGATGCTTAGTATCATTGACTCCACTTTGTGAGGCTGTGAATTAAGCTTTACCTCTTCAGGTATACGTAATGGAAACTCAGAAGAGGAAAAAAAAGATCGTTAGGTTGAGGACCAAATCAACAGAAACTAGACTGACCTAGATTGATGTACCCAAAAAATAGCTTTCCCTTTGGACAAGTGTTGACATGAGAAAGTAATTGATTTAAAGGACAAACTGCCCTTCAGTTCAGGGAATGAGGAACATTTTCATATATATCCAAACCTTTGCAATAACCCCCTCTTAACTCCCATTTCTTAAATAAAAAGACTTTTCATTGTGTTTATAACCACATAGCATGTTAGCAACCAGGATGGTTTTGTGGCTCTGAGTTGGCGCACAGAGCTCAAAATCTGGGACCCATTGAGCTAGTCAGATTGCCTTGGCCATGGGTCCTCTGAAGTTTATTACTGACTATAAAACAAACATTCCCATGTTTTGACTTCTGGGCCTGGCTACTGAAAGGTTTATGTCCCTTAGTCATATGGTTACTCACACCCTTTTAATGACCCAGAGAACAGAGGTCTTCTTGGTCCCCAGAGTCAGGACAGGTGAAGATGCAACTCTGCCCATGACTTAATAGTGCAAAGTCAGGCACTGGTGACCAGGAACAGACTGGCCAGTCCCTAGGACCCCAGCTATGGCTGTTTCCCGACTGGGCTCTCAGGTGTCTCTGCTTGAGATATTATATCAGGATGTCAGTGGAGAACACACCTGGGCCAGCCATCATGGACAAGCAGCCTGAGTGTCTCACTGCAAGGAGAGAAAGGGCTAATCCCATCAGGCAAAAGGCTGATGAGAGCCACACTTCACTATGGATGTCATGGCCATCAGACACGCTTGTATTCATTCATTCAACAAAATCTTGGGAGGGCCTTTATGTGCTAGGCACGATTACAGGTGTTAAAGTGCTAGGTGTGTGTGTGTGGGCAGATTTGGACTTCACGGCTTTAAAAAATCCCCTTAACACGGGGATCTCTAGAGAGAGAGACAGAGGTATAAACCGACAATTACAATATGCACATACTGGAGGATTGGAAGAGGTACTGAACTCAAATTGGAAGGAGATTGGAAAAAAACATCTCAGAGGAGAAAATGGCAAAATTGTGCTGTGGAACTCAGTGCTCTCATGGAGCAGAGACTAGAGATAGAAGAAGTAAAGGTCACTGCATACATTTGCATGGAATAAGAAAGTAGCCATTTTTCCGGGACTACTAAGGGTGCAGCCAATCTACTCTTTGGGCCTCTAGAACCACAAGACACACTGGCTGCAGATAATAGGGTTTATGGTACAGAATTAGATCACTGCTTTCATGTATGTCCACAAAGAGATAGAGTAAATGCCTATCATGCCTGGCCCTTGGCAGCATTTGCAGGAACTGCATCTCATTACGAGGGAAATGATTTAAAAAAAAAAAAAGTGTAAATTGCCACAGTTTAACCTGGTGATTTGGGGTAAGGCATTGCTCACCCATGTAAACAGTGCCTCCTCAGTCTGTGCTTTCCACATACTGGATGAAAAGTATTTGGATTCTTTGTTGGCTAAAGAGGATCCTTTTGCTTGGCTGATCATTTGGGTTTCAGATGGAGTAGGCAGGATCTTCAGATTTTAGAACTTGCATCAGAGTGTCTGCTCAATTCTAAGAAAAGCCCTTCATTTGTCTGGTTAAACGAGCTGTGCCAGTTGCATACGCCTTATAACTGAACTGAGACGGGCCAAAATTGGGAAGATTGTGGAAGTCATTGGAGAAAAAAAACTTAACTACGTATTTTCAAATTATAAAGGTGGGTAAAAGCAAAGATCTGATTGAGTTTGAGGAGTTTAGAAATTTAGGATTCTACAGGAAGTGGCGAAGAAATGAATTCTCCAGCCTAAGTCCTTCCAAATATGCTATCTCATAAAGCCAATAATGACCGTTCAGATGGAAGAATTATAAAGAGACTATATTCTGAAAGGAGAGGTTCCACTTGAAACTGCAGGAGCCATCTGCCTTTGAGCACGGGTACATGGATAGCTTACACCTAGAAAGGAATCAGAACCCCATGAAAGGGCTGAAAAGAACCAAGAGGCTATCTGAACATTTTTTTCCTTTTGTTTGTTTTCTCTCCTTCAAACTAACCTGGCAGTACCCCATAGTTAATTTCAGAGTGCACTCCAAATTCACGGTCGCAGACGGTGGACTGAACCTCCAGTTGCCATTCGTTAAGATATTTTTCCTAAAATTTTCTTTCTTTTAGAAGTCTTCTTGAACAACGGCTCTCTTACAAAATACGATACTTAGAAAGTAACATCTCTAAGACTTTGGTTCCAGTGAAGCAGAAGTCTGAGGATTTTATTTCCCTTAGAAATGAACAAGAAGCACAAATTCACTGGGAGAGTTAAATCCATGTTGTATTAAACAGAGTTTTCAAAACGTGATTCTGGGCATCCAAAATGCCTGTGTGATGTGCCTCTCCCCAACAGGAATCCTGCAAAGGAGACAGATGGAAAATCTCCTGGGTTTCAGGAACCTCCGTGTTAAGGGGATTTTTTAAAGCCGTGAAGTCCAAATCTGCCCACACACTACACATCATCTCCTAAGGGAGCGGCAGAGCCACCAGCAGCCAACAAAACCACCAGACTCTGGGCTCTGGTTGCTCCTTAGCCTGCAATGTTTGGATGAGGTATTTCCTAGACTTAACCTATGGCATTAGCTCCTGGGAAGAAGAAAGGTGTGGTGGGAAAATCCCATCTTCACACCCTGGAAAAGAAAACAAAAAAAGGATTTTATCTTTCAAACATAGGTTTCTGTATTTTTTTTTAAAACGCCAAAGGAAGAAAACATCAATTATCCAGGGAAATGAACCAGAAGTTGTTGTTTCATAAATTCCAGGAGGCCAAGCTACCTATGAAACACAAGTCCATTTTATTTTTTCTCCAGCAAAGCAATCACTGTCCTTCTCTTGGTGTCGGGTGCTCTTGTCACATCTGACACACTGGTTTGATTGTCCAGAGAATGAGCAAAAAAATGAGCCCTTAGCACAGGGCTCCCGGAGGCTGCTGGCACCGGGGTGCATTGGGCAAACATTCCACTTGAGTAGTAGAAAATTAATCTTTCAAACAAAAATGCTTTGTCACAATTCCATGTCTACAAATGAGAGAGAAAAGAGGAAGAAAAGGACTCGAGCCCTATTTCTTCACGACTGTGCTGAAGAAAGATAGTCAATTAGAACAGATATTGTTGGTGCCTTCTGGAACATGTGGCCAAGAGGTACAGCTTTGGGAATATGAGAATATGGGGATGTCAAAACCTGGTTTTGTTTGCTGGTTTTGACACATTTTTTTCTGCCTGGGCTGATTGTTACCTGCAGTCACGTTGGAGACAGAATAATGACATGAGCCTGGGAAGCCATCTGATGTGCCAATGGGGATAAGTCGGAGGTATTCAAAAGAAAATCATTTTAGGAAAGTATTCAAACCAGCACAACCATCTTTCTATTCTAAAATATTTTCCTAAGGGTGCCTGGTGGCTTAGTCGGTTAAGTGTCTGACTCTTGATTTTGACTCACGCTGAGCATGGAGCCAGCTTAAGATTCTCTCTCTCCCTCTCCCTCGGTCCCACCACCGCCTTGTGTGTGCACTCTCTCAATAAAACAAAACAAAATAAAATATTTTCTTTAGAATGGCCCAGAGTAGTGAACTTAGAGGTCTCCTAGTTTGGTCAAGGGAAACTCTTTTGAAGTTGCTTGGCAAGGCAGACTTGGAACCTCGAAGAATGAGATAAGCTGCCTGCTAGGGAGCCTCTCAAAAGAGTGATGGTCACTGAAAGTCTGGGTCACCCACAGCTCGCTGGAATCATGAGAAGGGAAAGTACTTTCCAACTTCAAGGACTGTGGAACAGTGCTGGAGGGCAGGTGTCTCTGCCAAGAGAAGCAACAATGGTTAAAGCAAAATCAAATAGCAACAGGGATGAATGGACACTGGGGGTGGGGGGCAGAGAGAGGGGCAGATTACAACTGGGGTGGGTCTGGTGTAGGCAGCTCAGTATGGTGTTCAAAGAGATGAGTTTCACTCTGTGTTTTTACAGTTGTCACCCAGATCTTGATGACAGCTAAATGGAAATGGGAATCTGAACTAAAATATTGTACATTATTCACCTTTATAAATAAACTGCATTTATGGGATCCAAAATGAAGAACTACCCTTCCTCTCTCTTATCAGATGGAAACAGCAAGGCAAAAAGGACTAAAGCAGCTCCCGATACAGGGATGGGGCTGAAAAGAAATCAGTGAGGCTGGGACAATAAGGGAAAAGATTAGAACTGAATGCCAATAAATTTGATTCTGTTAAAATAAAGAACTTCATATGACATCATTAAAAGAGAGAAAGGCAAGTGTCAGTGGGAGAGGATACTTGCAACAGATATACCCAACAAAGGACTTGTAAACTAGAATATGTTTGAACTCCTACAAAGCAGTAGGGGTAACCAGATTTTAAAATATGAGCAAAAGGCTTGCAACAACACTTCACAAAACAAGATATCCAAATGACCAATAAGCATGTGAAAAATTACTCAACATCAATACTAGTGACAGAAACGCAAATTAAGGGGCACCTGGGTGGCTAAGTCAGTTAAGCGTCTGCCTTCAGCTCAGGTCATGATCCCAGGGTCCTGGGATCAAGCCATGCATTGAGCCCTCTGCTCAGCAGGGAGCCTGCTTCTCCCTCTCCCATTCCTCCTGCTTGTGTTCTCTCTGTCAAAAAAAAAAAAAATTAAAAAAAAGAAATGCAAATTAAAACATAATTAAGATATTAGCAAATATCACCCCTATGCACATGCACACATATGTGGGTGCACAAAAATGACCAAGATTTGAAAGACTGAAAACACTAAATGTCTCCAAGAATGTAGAACCACAAAGACACTTCTACATGGCCACTGGGATTGGAAAATGGTATAACCACTTTGGAAAACTGTTATCAGTTCTCTAAAGATGAATATATGCAGCACTGTGATCCAGCAATTTCACTGACAGGTATAAACCCAATAGATGTGAGCCACCAAAAGACATGCAAGATTGTTCATAGCAACTTTATTCATTATAATCCCAAACTGGAAACAATCTAAATGACCATCAGTGGTTGAATGAATAAGGGAGTACTACAGAGTGACAAAGAAAGAAGTACCAGAAAATAGAACAGAATGAGTGAAATGTTGCAGGGGAATGTTGAATGAATGAAGCCAGACAAAAGAAGTACAACACATGTGTGATTTAATTTATATGAAAAACCAGACAAAATTAATCTATGGTGACAGAAGTCAGAGTAATGGTCACATTTTAGGGAGACTTACGGCAGTAAGAGCACATAAAGCAGCCTTCTGGGATGTTGAAAATGTTCCGTATCTTGATCTAGGTGGTGGTTATAATGGATGTGTGCATGTATGAAAATTTATTGAGCTGCACATATGAAATATATGTGCTTCTCTGTGTGTAAGTTGCACCCTGATCAGAAAGTTGCAAAGTAGTATAATACTGCTTCTTTTTCTTCTCCAGGTCCTTTTCAGGACTCCAGCTCTGCATTTACTGTGTTATGGAGGAATTTTTTGCCTTCTCTGTTATTTGTAAGTTGCTTGCAGATGGGCACCATGTCTTATTCATCTGTATTTCTCCACTGCCAAGCACAGAGCTTGCTATAGAAAAATTCCTCAGTAATATGTGTTTAAACTATTCCTAAAACACTCTAATTTCATGTCATTTAGACTCTCAATCATGCATATTGTTCACCTCCCACTTTACACTTTAGTTGTAAAGGTAAAAATGGGAGCAAACCTGGATAATCTTTCCCACTTGTCAAGGTGTCAGATGATGAAAATGCATTGAATTCTCCCACCTGGGGTGACCTGTTTAAACCAGAAGTTCTCAAGATTGAAGAGCATAACACCCAAGTGCAGAACTTATTAAATATGCAGATCCCTGGCTTTGCCCTCAGAGAGTCTTGTCCACAAGGTTAGGGAAGGAGCTCGGGTCTATACTTCTAACAAGCACCCCAGAAAGTTCTGATGGTGCACACGGTGACAAAAATAGCCTTGGACACACAAAACTTCTGGCTTTGTAGAGATTATAGGAATATTAACTGAATAACTTGACATAAATTATAGGAATACTAACTGAATAATGTGACATGCCCCCTCACCTAAGAGGAGACCATCACAGTTTTGGATTCCCTCCCCTCAGAATATGGGGGTCTCTGGTGAGTCTTTCGAGAGAGAAATTTTCTGAAAACACCTAGATTAAGTGGTCTCATGTGATCCATTAGAGTCCACCTACCTTTGGAAACCAGGAGGGTTTACGCCACATCTAATTCAACTAAGGAAATGGCTGTTATGGCCGAGCATCCACTTCTGAGTGGATTTCCAAATTCTGGAATAGGCAAAATGTCTTCATTCGGGAATATACGGGTTACTGCACATTGGGAAAAGAAGGAAGCTCTGTGAGGTTCGATGACAGCTTTTTCTTTCTAAAGAAAGGATATTCAGGGAAATTTTTTGCCAATTCTGTTTTTTAAGATAGAGGTCTTAGGGCCATGACACAGACTGACAAGAAGCTGAAAACTCCAAATCAAGACTGGCACCTTGTCCCCAGTTTCCACCAGTAAGTTAAAAGTGGGTTGTCAGATTCAACGTTTTCCTTATGTTGAATTATTTTATCAAGTAAATGGTGTTCTTTGGAGAAAATATATAAAAATAAGGAGATCCATAAGTTTAAAAGTTAAGTTTCTCTTCTCTATGCACTGACATACATATATATTACATATATATTATATATCCTTTATATGTCTGTGTATATTATATATACTTTATATGTATGTGTATGTATACATATTATATATTTTTTGTATGTGTACGCATATATACATATATATGTGTATAGAGAGAGACACAGAGAGAGAGAGAGAGAGGAAAGGAGAGAGAGAACATTACCAAATCCTGCAGGCAGTGGGTTATGCTTTACTGTAACTACTACTCCCTGGAGAAACCACTCAGAATCTAGGCACTCCTGTAATATATCTGGGTTAATGTAACTATAATGCAAAACCAACAAACCAAATATAAATAGATAAATAAATATACAGATAAATAAATATATAAACAAGCCACGTGCAAACACATGAATATATGTCACAAGCAAGTATGTGGTCATCCAGGAAAATTTAGTTTAGTTTCTCTGACTGGAATATAACAAGTTGCTTTTTAGTTTTGCTTTGTCATGTATTTCTTCCTAATGTAGACAAGGAAAATATTCTTGAAAAGCAGTTGTGAATGGATAGTGACAAGTGGTTTCCTGTGGTCTAAGAACAAGCCAGCAATTACTGCCTGTTATGTTCTTTTAAATTCCAGAGGCAAAGGAAGTTCGATAATGTCATATTGGCTTCATGGTTATTGAACGGAGGGGAGCATCTTGAGATAAAACAAGGTTGTTGGTTTTTTCCTTCCTTTTAGAATGAAGTTATAAATATTTCCTCCACAGATACTACAAAATATCAGGGGATCTCTGAGCTTCAGCATGGTTCCCTGTATGTCTTTGGGCAATAGAAATGGTAGATCTAGGGGCAAATGTGAACTTTCCCTCAAAGAAGTCCAGTAATCCTAGTTTCCCCCGGAAACCTTGGGCTAGTCCTTAACGTCTCGAGGCCTTCATCCCTGCATTGAGCGCCTTCTGAACATGCTTTCTGGTCTGCTGACTGATTTCATGATGGTGGGACAGAACCCAGGGGCTACAATGTACTCTTTGGGAAGTAAGAGCTAGAATCCCAGAAAGTAAAATTTAGATATGAGAGTTTATCTTCTGTAGGCTCAGGCTTCTGAATCCTCTCTTCCCTTTTTTCTATGTCCCATACTGTAATTACTGGGTAAAGCAGAGGCATGTTCTATCTTTGGGATTCAAGGAGAGCAGAGAGGAGCAGAGGGAGTTGAGAAAAAGCTTGAGGGAGAAAGTGAGAGCCGAAGGAAAGCCACAAAAGATGGGAGAGTGGGAACGAGCATCCACAAGGAGTTCCACCAGCTCAAATTCTGGAATGGGCAAAACGTCTTCACTTAGGAATATACCTGCTGGCATCTCCTCAGAGAGACCACCTTGTGTAAAGGAGTGCACCCTCAGAGTCACAGTCTTCCAGTCTGCACCTTGAGAACTCCGTTTTCTTCATGGCATTTTTCACTGCCTGAAATTACATTATATATTTATGTCCTTGTTTATTTCTATTCCTTGTTCCTGTCTCCCTCATTATCTATGAGGTAGGACCTGCATCTCATTTATTGCTGACTCCCCAAAGGCTGGAACAGTATCTGGCACAGTAAATACTAGTTAAGCTAATGAATGAGGCCCATAGATGGATGGGTGGGGTCAGCCTTCTTCATGCCCCTGTTTCTCTCCGGGGGTAACCTAGGCAGCACCTACCTGTGGCTCAGAGCCTGAGAGTTAGGATGAGCAATAGATCTGGTTTGCCTGGGACTGTGGAGGTCCTAGAGATGGGAGACCTTCAGTGCTAAGGCTGGGAAAGTGCTGGGCAAACCTGAACAAGCTGGTGATCACTCTCCCTAGACACTTCTGAAGGTCTTTGATAGCTTACATGAAAGGAGAGTGGGGTCAAAGTATGTATTATCCTTCCAAGGTCACTTCAGGCTGGCTTATCCTCTGACTGAAAGTTATGGCTTCTCTCGGGTCTTCCCCTACAGTCTCGGGTAATGGCTCCATGTCTCTGGGGCCTTGGGTGGCAACAGCTCAGCTGCCACTAAGCCTATCCCTTGTGGTTCTTCTCTACTCTCCACACATTAATAAATAGTCCTTTTCCAAATAAACCTTCCTGGAATTACCTAAAGTTGAGTGAGCCGCTGTTTCCTATAGGGACCCTGACTGACAGGAGGAAAAAATGGGAACCTTAGAAATAAGAGTCCTGAGAAATCATTAATATGCAAAGGTACTTAACCTTCTTAGCCTCTGGGTTCCCCACCTGTGAATATGTGGCCTCCTCACAGGGTGATTAAAAGAAGTGACTAAGAAAATTTGCTTAAAGCTGTTTGTTACCATATCAAAAGTACTCAGCACTCTCTTTTTAACCACTGTTAGTAGCTATTGTTTTACCTTTGCTCTTCTTCACAACAGAACCACCAGGCTTGCCCTGGGTTTGAGAAGGGCCCCAGAATTTCACCTCTCCAAAGGGCATGAAATAATAGGCAGAAATACTCTAGATTTGAAAATTCAAACATGCATATTGTTCTTCTCTTAATATGGTTACTTCAGGGCCTTGAGTGACACCCTTAATGTTCTATATGTTTGAGATTTCCTGGTGAGTCTGATGTCTGTTTGGGCAGAGGGTTAGAGGTGGAGACTTTGTAAATTTGCAGGAAACTCCCTACCTGATGGATGAACCCACCCCTCCCAACAAGGCCAGACTGCCGAAAGAAGCAAGAAATCAATTTGCCACAAAATGAAACCATTTTGAACTCAAGAAAAAGGTTCTCCATTTCCAATTTAATGATGTTGTGAGTGGTCTGCAGACCTTCAGTGAAAACGGGCCATTGAGAATGTCCCTGGGGGGTGGATAAGCGTGGAGGCTGAAGGTTAACTGCTAAAAAGATTTTTTTTTTTTCATTATAAGAAATAAAGAAAGTACAAGCAAGAATATGAAAATTCTGTGATGAAATCAGACAATTTAGGAAAGACAGAGGGGTGGACAGAGCACTCATTTTATTCCAAAGTGAATGAAAACACACACACATACATGCACAAAATGCTTTGCCCATAACTAAGAAAAATGGGAACAAAGAAGGAATATATGGGGGAATAACACTGAAGTTCATAACAGCAACGCCCAAATTAAATCATGTCATAGTGTAGTGTGTTAGATAGTGTCCCCCCGCAAAATCCATGTCCACTTGAAACCTCAGAATGTGTCCCTAGAAATAGGGCCTTTGTGGATGTAATTAGTGAAGGATCTCAAGAGGAAATCTTCCTAGATTTAGGGTGAGCCCTAAATCCGATCACTGGTATCCTTGTAAGAGAAAGGAGAGGGAGATTTGGACATAAAGAGAATCAAATGGACATGTGGCCACGTGAAGGTGGGGGCAAAGATTGGAGAGAGGCTTTCCCAAGACAAGGACCATCCAGAGATGCAAGAAGCTGGAGGAGGCAAGGAAGGAGTCTCCTCTAGAACCACTGAAGGGAGCATGGCCCTGCCAACATCTTGATCTCAGATTTCTAGCCTCCAGAATCGTGATGGAACAAATTTCCATTGTTTTAAGCCACTCAGTTTGTAGTAATATGTTACAGCAACTCTAAGAAACCAGTGCACACATCAAAGTTTATACATAGTTTAGCATAGTCTATACAGCAGGAGCTCAACAAATATGGTTGCTCGAACAAGTCATCCTGCTGGATCTGCTGCCCTGTAAATCCATGGAGGTACCACCATGCTTACATCGTGGTCTTGTCTCAGAGTGAAGACCCAGCACTTCATGCTTCCTGTTCTAAATTTTGCAACCAGCGCAATTCATGTAGAATGAGCACAGGGTTCAGAATATGGAACTAGCAGACCGAGATTGACATACCTGCTAATCAAACCTGGCATTCCATTTCCAAACCGCTCATTCCAGCGAAAGTCACTGACTAATTACACCCGACAGGAGATTGGTATCCAGCACTGCAGGGATGTTTATATCACCAGCATCTCTCTCAAGCAGGGCCCTATTAAGATGATACTATGCTTCATCTTTGCAGGAGTGTAAGTAGTCTCAGGCCTCGGTCATCCATCCATCCAGGATGGAATCCTAGCATAAGACCACTTGGCCGGGAATATTTTTAGTCTCTAACATCCCAGTATATTTCACGGCCCTAGTGATGATTCTTGTCTCCCTTTCACTGCCCACTTCTTTCCCTGCTGATGAAGTTGTGGCTTCCAAGTCCACTTTATTTTCCCTTCTTATGTTCTTAAGTTGCACTGTTTCTTTCATCACCGCAATTCTGATTTGACTCCAAGTTGGCCACACTTGTGGTTGATTACTGTGCTAGTGTTTTCCATTTTCCTCTCCCCATCACTCTCTGCCCTTCTCCTGGGCCCCAAGGCATCAGCCTCAATGGATTGCATCAGCCAGGACTTCTTGTCCTAGCTTCTGGTTAAGTAGGGGAGGTACTGCCAGGAAACCGGAGGGTAGGAGGAGAGACTGGTCAGATCAGGGTATTGATTCCCCTCTGATCACCCTCCATTCCAGGTCTCTGCAGCCACAGCTCCTGCTGGAGCCCCACTTGCAAGGCTAGAGATCAGCTGGTCCTTCAGGCTTGGGGCTGCAGACTGCTTTCTGCTGGTGCTTGTCCCTGAGTGCCAGTCTCTCCCTGTGGCTCCCTCAATTCTGTCCCCACATCTGTAAACAGCACCTCCAATAAACTCTTTCCACTTACACCTCTGATACAGTTAACAATATTAATCTTGATTTGCACATTTAATACTTTGCCTAGCTGTAAGTGTTAAACACACACACACACATGCACACACATATACACACATGCACATAGTCTATCTATATCATAGGAAGAATATGGCTTCAGAATCAGACACCCCTAAATTAGCAGTTATGCCATTGGATTGCTCTGTTCATCCAAGTTATTTAGTCTCTGTGAGTCCCAGTTAACTCATCTGTGAAATAAGACCACATACCTTGTAGGGTTATGAGGAAGCTGAAGTGAACTAACAGAGCATTTCTTATGTGCCTTTTCTTCATCTCTTCATTCAGCTTCCTACAAATATTCCAGACCCTGTCTAATCTGTTTCCACGTGCTCTCAGGGTACGGCCCTTGCTAACCAGTCTCTTTTTTAGGCTAATATTTGGGTGGTCCTTACCACGTGTCAAACACTTTCCCATCAGGATTCACTCAAGCCCCAGTGCCTCCACGTTAAGTGGGATCGATATGCTATTTCCAGAGGAGGTCGTTGAGGTAGACAGACCAGTGAAATGACCTGTCCACAGTCACCAAAATTCCAGTGTCAAGTCTATCATCTTTTATGCTGGGACTCTGTTCCCACCCTGTTGCTTCCATTCTCTTGGAGAAGATCCCACCCATCATGGGGTTTCTGGTTTGTTCTGCTGGCTGTAAGATATGCCTGAGAAGACAGTGACAAGGACAGCTCTTTCTCACCAACTATGGGACAGGGTGGGGTGGTTGGAAAAGAAACTGTGGAGGAAGTCACTGTGGGCACAGAACCGGCCCCCATGCCTTGCACACAATGACTTGGACGGAAACAGATTCGCTTCTCAAATTGATGAATTGGCAGATGGACACCCAGCTGCTGGGTGTTTCCATCCTGATTGAAAAGACTGCGTGACATGGCCGTGAGCAATAAACCAGAAAACTAGTTCTAAATAAGACCCTGTTCATTCCTCAGCCCTTAAGAATTGTGCTTCCGTGGACATAGCAATGCATGACAGAATATGGGTACACTAAGGCCGGTCTGGAAAAAATGCAAAGTTGTCATTTCACAAGTAAGGGAAAAGTCACATGCATCCCCAAGATTTCTGAAAAAAGAGAAATTAATTCAGAAAATGTGAACAAAGGCAGAATAGAAGGGAAAAATTCTTAAGATTTGCTACTGGAGACTTTACTTTTAAGATTCATTTCAGCAAAACAAAAAGGAAAAGAAACACTAATATCTCTTTCATGAACTATATAAAAGTAAATAGACCCATAAAAGGAGGTTAAAGAAAGAATCCAATCTACTTTCTCACCAAAGAATCTTTAGAAAGAAATATGCTGCTTTTAACAATTCCCAAATCCCCAAATTCAAAAAGGTTTAGAAAGAGTTGTTACAACAACTTTGTTAGGAATTTATTTTTGAATTGAATCTATTTAATTTTTTAAAAACCCTGAATTTACAGAAAACAGATAAAATGGTGAAAAATAAAGATTGCGATTGGTTCTATGTTCAGCAAAGGAACCTCCTCAAATTATAACTGCTGTGCCCAGTCCATGGTTAATATTGATGGCCAGGGTCATCATCCAGGCTGACAATTAAGACAGAATGACAGATCACCTACACCCTTTCTTCAGAAAAGTGGGAAACTCTACCTCTTAAAAGCGATACATGCTCACTGTCAAAAGCTGAAAAAAACCGGGAAAATCACACAGCAAAACATAATGAAAATAGTCACTAATTTCACATTATAAAGTATT